AGCAGGAATCTTGGTGAGATAGGGTTACAGAGTGTGTGTGTGTGAGAGAGAAAGCGAAAGGGTACAGTGTGTGTGTGTGTGTGTGTGAGATGGGGTTACTGTGGGTGTGCATGTGTGTGCGTGAGTGCGAGATGGGGGTTACAGTGTGTGTATCTGTGTGTGTGTCTGAGAGAGAGATGGGGTTACAGAGTGTGTGTGTGTGCACACTGATCAACTCTCCTCTTTAGGCGTTCCACATGATGACCCTCCCCTCCCACCCCCGCCCCACGATGTTTTAACCTGATCCTTTTCTTTTCCAGCACAGGCTTGAGTTCACTGCACTTAATCCCTAACACAAGCCCCGCCAACGTGTCTCCTAGCTTGCCTTTCTGCCTTTCTACTCTGCGACGCTCCTTCGGTTTCCTTGGCCAGCGACGCTGCCTGTGGAGAAAACACGATGACCATCTTGCGCCCGGTGGGGTTCTGTGGCATGACCCTCAAGGCCGGGGCCACTGTAGCTGCTGTCTACATGATCCTAGTGACCAACATCTACCTGATCTTTGAGGTTGGCCACTTGGAACGAGCAATGACGGACATGGCACAAATCAAGCCCTTCAACTTAACCGAAGTGGGGAAGATGCTAACGTATTGCTACTATACAGCCATCACGCTGGCTGTCATGACCTACACGGTGTGTGTCTTCCTCATCTACTCAGTCCAGAAGCGGCTCTACATGGGCATGTTCGCCTATGTCGCATGGATCATCTTCTATGACCTGGCTAACTGCCTCATCGTGGCCCTGGCTTACCAGGTCTCCAAAGAAGCCTGGTTTTCCCTCAGCCCCCTGGAGTGGTTTGGGCTGGCCATCAGGATCCCCATGGATTGTTTCTGGCTCTCCTTCATTGTCAAATTTGCCCTACTGGTTATTGAAAGCAAAGGGCAAGGAGGGCTGAACGCGTCAGAACTGCCCAGGTTTAGGTTGGGCTAAACTGCTAGGAAAGGCGTGTGAGGGGAGGTATTGGAGCAGTACGTTGGGCCCCATTTTCACGTGTTTCCTACTGATGGAGATGAGAGACCATTACCTGTGTAATCTCCTTCCTCTGTTGTAATTCAGTGTTTCTCTTGCTGTTGCTGCATTTTCCAGGCTCTGAGTTCAAGTCCTGAATAAATACTCCAAAAGCCAATCATTTATATTTGTGTTTTAGGTTTTTCCCCTGGCTTTTATTATGCATCAGGAAGCCACAGGGCATGGGAGTCAGCAGAACTGGGTCTATCTACAGTTCTGCTACGGAGTCACCAAATGACCTTGAGCGAGTCATGTCATCTCCCCCTACCTCAGTTTTCTCATCCGTAAAATGGAGAGAAAGATCTTGTTGTATAATATATATGTAAGGCACTGGAAGCTCGAGGGATGAAAAGCCTGACATAAGGCCAGATTTTGAAAGATATTTAGGCATTGCGATGCTCAGTGTTGAAACACCTAACTGATTTAGGAGCCTAGCACTCATTTTCAAAAGGGATTTAGGTGCTTGGGACAGCTGTAAGTTATGATCAGGGTATCGTAAGAACCCTGTAGCAGATGCTGCTGAGAGGATGCATTCAAGTAGACCATGCTGCATATCTTTGGCATCCAGCCTAACTAAATCATTGCATGGTTGCCATGTAAGAGTAAACAAATACCTGCCCTAGACACTTACCAGCTCTCCCCAGTCGGAAATCCGGTCCCGGGCCACGTGCTTGATGGCTACCTAGAACACAAACAGAACCAGACAGACAATCAGAATCAGGTCAGGCAACCCCAGAAAGAGGGGAGGCAAACAAGGGACCAATGGAAGGGATGCAAAATGGTGGTTATGCCAGGGCACAGCAAAGGAGATGTAACTGGGTAAGGGACGCAAAGGTGGAGATCAATAGAGCAGCGTGCATGGGGAGCGGGCTGCAGGGGTGGGGGTCACTGTCCAGGCTCTACTCACCGGGGCGCCGTCCGACAGGCGGGTGCCCGAGTAGACAGAACCAAAGCCACCACTGCCCAGCAGTGGGCCCACCTGGTACAGCTTCTCCAGGGGCTCCTTGTCCTTCCCTGCAGGCAGAGAGGCACAGACACCGGGATCAGAACCAGCTGTGTCCTCAAAAGACCCAGCCAACCCTCCAAACCACAGCAACCCCACATCCCTCCTCAGAACGACCTCCCTCCCCGAACTGAACCAGCCTCACATCCCTCCCCAGACCAAACTGGATCAGACCCCCCAGCCCTCCTCAGACCGAACCCCCCAAACCGGACCAGACCCACATCCCTCCCCCAAACCGAACCAGACTCCTCTCTGAACCTACCCCTCTCGAACCGAACCTCCCCAATGCCCAGCAGGACAGGGCTCCTCCCGAACCGAACCCGGACCGCTCCGGGGCACCCCACTCCGGAGCCACCCCCTGCTGTCGATCCGAACCGAACTGGGCCTCACCTGGCTGTAGCTTGGCCGGGTGCAGCTCCCCGCCGGACCCAGAGCACAGGTGGGCCAGCGAGTTGATCTTGGAGAGCAGCATCCCCGCCCCGTCCCCTTGCTCCAGGGCCGGGACCGGAACCGGAACCGGAACCGGCACCGCCCGAACCGAACGCCAGTGGCTCGGCTCGCAGCCCCGCCAGCTCGGAACCAAGGGGTTGGGGTCCGGGCTGGAGCAGGGGGCGGAGGCCGGGGGGAAGGGAGGGGACGCGAATGGGAGCAAGAGGGGGAAGGGGTCGGGGGAAGGGGAGAATAAAGGCGCGGGGCAGGGGGATGGGGCAGAGACTGAGGGGGATGAAAGGGGGGGAAAAAGGGAGTCGAGAGGATTCCTTCAATACTCTCAAAAATGCTGTGAGGACCTGAGAAGGAAGGTGTTCTAGGTGGGCAAAATACTATTATTTGTGTAAAAATTCAAGAAGAGAATGGGTCTGATTCTAGATTTCCCTGCACCATGCGTGGTCACTTACACCAGGGCTAAGTGAGCAGAAAGTCAGTATAAACTGCTGGCAGGCTGCTTTGCTTGCATCGTTTGCCCACTGTGCGTGAGTCTGAATGATTTACACAAGGTGTAAGGTGAAGGAGAATGGCCCCCAATGTTTCTCGTTAACATTCAAGTGAGGCGAGGAAGTGTCTTTTTAAAAGTTAGACAGGGATTCCTAGGACCAGATTTTCTAGGGCTCAGCAGACATGACTGGGGTCAGATTTTCAGAAGAGCCAAGCACTGAGCACATGAAAATCTGGCTCTTACTTTCGGTGCCTAAACGGGACATGCTAACACCAGAGGGCAGTACAATTCTACAGCTGATAAGAAGCCAGGCCACCTACACCACCCTGCGTTATACACCTTACAGAGCCTCTCTTTTCTCAATGTGTGACTGCCCAGCCATGGGCTGTCCCAGCCCAGACTAGTTCTGGCCTCGCTGGAGCTTTAGAGCCTCTCCTTCCCCACCGGAGTCATGGGAGGGACCTTCTGCTCCCCACAGTCACAGACTTTAGGCCGGAAGGGACCGCTCGGGTCATCTAGCCCCAGCTACTGCAGACCCTAGGCCAGAGCCCCTCCCCCCGTCCATACAGCTGGAGCCGGGGGGTGGGGTCTCCAGATCCCCGAGTGGGAGAATCAGTTCCATCCCGGTTCCTCCTCCTTGTGACAGCGCAGAACAGGGGTTCCCGAACGCTCCGCTCCCCCAGCTCCCAGCCCACGCGGGCGGCTCTTTGCGCCTGCCCAAGCTGCTGGGCGCCTTGGCCGTAGGATGTAAAATGGCCCCATCTCTGCTTCCCCTCCCACCGCGGCAACAACACAGAAACTGCTTTCATAGCACCCCCCCCGCCCCCGCCCAACTGAGTCTCAGGC